ACTGCCCTTGCTGCTTTCTTTATCTCTGAACTGCAACTGTCTGCCATCGTGTGACATCATAGTTTCTTGACTCCCTGTCTAATCCCAGTCTGCAAGCAGAAAAGCACGGATCCATAAGAAATAAGATATACTGCTGGATTACTCTCAATTCCTACGTAATCATGCTCAAAACATTTGTTTTCTTCAACTGCAAAAGAGACACCTTACATTCTAAATGGAAGGGTACAACGCATATCTGATACTGAGTTCTGCTGAAAGACAATGAGAAGAGAAAAACTTCCCACCCCTGCCAAGTGATGCCTTAAAAAAATGGGCTGCTTTAGCAAAATACATGTTCCTCTTAGCAACTCTGCCTCAACCCTCTTAAGATGTCATCTTCTGAGGATATTATCTGTTAGCTCTATTGGGCCTTTATACAAACCTAGAAGTAGTGAAGAATATAAAGCATTCAGTCTAGACAGCCTGCTATTGAGTCACTCAAAATTAATTTGAATAGCAGGTGGTATTTAAATGAGGAACTGCAAGAATCTGGACATTGAAAACGTCTTGAGAAAGACAAAGACTACTGCAAGACCATAAAGAGGAACGTGAAGCCATGTAAGAGATTAGTACCATGGGGACAGATATAAAATGGTTTTAGATAAACTTCACAGACTAAAATTTAGAACTGCACATCTCTGAAATGTTTCCACTGAAAACTTAAGCTCATTTCTACTTCTCACTGCTAACTGGATTTCCACAACAGTGAAACAGGAAAAAACTTCATCTACTAACAAACTTTCTGGCTTCTATTCAGTTTTGCTGAAACAAAGCTGAAGCTTTCAGGAGCTACCTGCTTACTCACAGAAGTTCAATAACATCATCTAAAAATGCAAGAGTTCTCACTACGTGGACTGCAGAAAAAAATTAGTTTAGGTTTGTCTGCAAATCTGTTGGCAGCAAAAGATGTCTACAATGTAACTATTATTCCCATAGGATGGAAATAGTTTGGGCAACTTCCCCCAAACCAGAAACAAATCTGTTGCACTATGATAGTACAACAAAACCTCTGGAGCTGGAAAACATTATTCTGAAAGTTGCATTCACACTGCTACACAGACACAGTGAATAACTCCACTTCACTACAAACCTAGAGCAGACTTCCACAGCACACTTGGCACTAGAATTTCCCATTTTTTAAAAATGGCAATTTATCACAATGCAGGAAATTGTAGACATGGGATTTTCAAGTTAGTGACAATTAAAATCCCGAATAAATCCAACTACAAACCCAGTCATTAACAGATGAAAAACTTGTTAGCTTAAAGAACCAAAACTGCTGTAAATTATCCTGATAAACACCTGAGAAATTGTTTTTGTTTTTTTTTTCCTTCATAACATCTCATTAAAAACCCAGGACCTTAACTTAGCTAATAGATGCTGTTATACATGCTACCATCTTTTGAAGGTTGCTTTGATTATTAAAGCTTTTGTTTGCAGCTTTTTAACAAAACAATAAAAAAGTATTACGAAGCTGGCCTCAGTGTCACCAGATGACTATAGAGAACAGATATTTCAGTGAGGTCGGCAAACTAAACATCATTGACCCGGTTCATCTCCTCAAAACAAATGAAAAACAGAGGCCAAGTGCCTTCACAAAAGTTACACTGCATAAGAACAAATCAAAACCCATTAAAACCCCCCCCCCCCCATTAAGTACAATTAACTGTAAGGCATTTAATATTCTCCCCCCTTTTTCTGACTAAAAACAATTAACCAACTATTCTTCAACACACAGACACCCTTCTTGTAAAAGGGTGGGGGGGAAGCAGTCATTTATTGGAACTCTTTACATCCTTAATACTGAAACATCAAAACTTTTCATATGATGCTACTGGCAACGACAAGTGGTAACTCTAATTATTTATCTGGAGTGTTCATATTTAAAAGAAAAATTATTTAAAAACTGAAAAAGAAATATTTTTTTTCCCACTCTGATCCTTGAATTAAGCACAGCATAAAAAAATTAACAACTTAATCCAAAGAAAACTTGCATAGGACTAAAAAAATTTAATATAAAATGTAATTAAGGAGCAGGCTTTCAGGAACTGATGTTGCCAAGAAAGAAAACACACACAGAGATTTATATTGAGTACAATTGCTTCCAGTATGCAAAGCCTCTAGAGACAAAATGTGTTACTCTTGAGTACGATTTTGTAACTGTTGGTCTAAATGTTTCTCCCTTGATCTTTACAATCTCTGAAAAATCATCTATTCTTTATTCTGTATTCTAACATAAGAGGAAACATCACCTAGCAACAGAGGAATTCAGTTCTTCTTTTCATTTGTTCCCAAGAGTAGTTAACAGAATTAATACTGTGAGTAGGAAAGCATAATTTTCATATAGTCCCAGTATGAAATACAAGTTCTTTATTCTCACGTACACTCAAACGCACAACAAATATTGAGAAAATTATGCTAGCTGGTTTGGACGATCGGGGACAAAGACAACTCCTATGGCTGGGAGACAGACAACCCATTTCAGTATTCATGACACATCTATGTGTGTCTGCTGCCTTCAGGAATGACAGCCCATGTATTTCAACCCAACTCTGAGGCTATCAAATTTAAATGGTCTGTATCGCACATCTTCCTCATCTACAGGTCAGACAGATACATACTTCTTCCATTAAACATACAGCACTTGCTATCAATGTTCCTCAACAACTGAAGCTTAAACATCTATTCAGAAAGTCTGGACTGGTGGGATTTCCCAGTCCATGTGCCTGCACAAAAGACCATGTAAATGTACCAAGAGGTAGGGAAAACAGACCTGCCCTATCCTCTCAGACAAAAGTTGGACTGAAACAGGTACGTGAAAGACACTACCTGCAAATACCAGGTCTATTGAGACACACTGAAAAAGGAGGCAAGACTTTTCAGAGGAAGTTACGTGTTTTTTTAAACATGACCTGAAAAACCTCAGGCCCCTCCACATCCCTAAATAAGCATGTGAATTTGTTAAGGAAATGGAAACTGAACTGCTTCCCATAGCAGGGAGCGGGGAAAGGAGAAAGGAGGGAGGGACAGAAGCTAAGCCTGGAATAACAAGTTCATTTTAAATTGTTTCATTACAAACTCACTGAAATATGTCATAAAACCCTGCTTATGTTTTCAGGTCAGAGTTGCAGGAGACAGCTATTTGGATAAGGATCACAGACTGTAATTAGGACCTCTGCAATTCCTCCCATTTAAATGAATTCCTTCTATTTAAATGAGTTAAATTGTTTTTAACAGTTAAGTTGAAGGCACAGATGACCCTACTAACAAAAGCATGTTAATATTTTAAAAGTATGATAGAAGAGAAGTAAACCTTCACCAATGAGAAAAGTGACTGTGACTTTCTCAGTTACAGAGGACTGTCATTTGGTTGACATTTCACTTGAGATTTGTTTCACACAAAATGGTCAATCTGCATTTTTAATATTACCATTTCGGAAGAAACTGCACTGCTAAAGGATATGAGTGATTTATACTCTTAACTACTTTGTTTGAATTTTGAGATTTTATTTTTGACTTCTGTAAGAGAAACTGTTCTTAGAATAACTGTATTTTGAAATATGAAACCATCAGTCTTCCAAATCTGATGGCTACTGTCTCCGCTGAATACATAAAGGAGATACACTCAAATCCTTCCAAACACCTTACTAAGTGAGCCAACAGTTTTAGGTAGTTTGCCTAAATATAACTTGTTTAAAATTTTATTAAGTCAAACAATGCTGATGCCATCACAAAAACATTTTTAATTAAGTCATTTAACAAGACAGCTGGCAAAATTCCTGGTAAAACAGAGCTCATGTAGACTTTGTGAATATGAACACAAGCATAATTAAGGAAACAATCTAACCTACAAATTGTAATCACATTGCAATTACTTGCAGTGCTGTATTTTAAATTTAAGATAAACAAAATAACAACAGCACTTAGCTTCTTACATATTCTTATCATGTGACTGCTTGGGTGCCTAAAAGCAAAGATCGAAATTACTTTTTCCTGCAGTTGGCATCCTCAGAAAACCTTTAGCATATAGAGCCTCTAGTTCACACTGCAGCCTTTTCGAGGCCTTTCGAAACCTCATTACCCTCAGTTGTTTGAAATCAGTCAAGGGTCAAAATTTACTGGGTAAGATGAACCACCAGACAGCATGACTGTTTACACCTCATTTCTTTAACAAATGTAAAGAAAACAAATACAGTGTTCTGCTACTCAGACATTGAGAAGAATAGGAAAAGACCATCAGTTCCGAGAGCCTGATTTCAGGGCTCTTTTATTCTATGGATTATAAACCGTCAAAGCACTTTGACTCTCAAACTGCTGCAGTTATCTCCTCCAGAGATTAAGTTCTTAGTATTCCTTCTCTCCCTCGATGCGATAGGATAAGGAACCACAAAACAGGTGGAATGGCCCCTCAGCTATCTCAGTTCACAGTCCCAAGTGTGAATTTAAACAGCCATCATTTCTCAACTATACTAAGCAAGTGTCTTCAGGACTGGAGGAAAATACTGCAGCTGGCCAGACAATTAGCAGGACACTATCAACAGGGGTTTTTTAACACATTGTTGCATTTTAGTTATTTTGGTTTTGAGACAGCACAGCTTGAATAGTATGTCTTGCCTGTGGCTCAAAAATCATTTAGAAAATAAATACACAATTTATATTCTCAATAAAGGGCCAGAAAACAGAGGGGAAGGTGTTTCCCCCATTCCATCCAATGACATATATTAGATTGATTCACTGTGACATAAAGCAAATCCTTGTTTGCTATTAAAAGATAATAAACTGACCTGCTGCATGGATTTATGTCAATAGCTGTACTTGCAACTATAATCTTAAGCACTGTGTCACTAGAGTAGATAAAAAAATTCCTACACATAGATTTTCATGACTGTTCTCTCTCCAAAGCAAAATTTTCTTTTCTTCTTCTATTACAGATAATAATTTTATTCCAACTTGAGACTTACACATATTGAAGAAACTGCTTTGTCTGCGTTGCTCAACTGTCACAGGACAGGGGGAAGAGATGGAACACCGTAACTGGAAAGCCCACGCCAGACTAGAATACGAACAGCAACTCCCTTTCACTGGCACAGAGGTAAATCCTGAGAATGAAGACAAAAAGGTGTTTATATACAGTAGGACACATTTTTTTTTAAAACTGTATTTCCTGCAAATATACACACCAGAAAAAAATCCCGTAATATTTACTAGTACAGCTTAGTTTCCAAAGGGAATCAGACTTGAATCTTTTGTCTTGAAGTGCAAAACAAGTTGCAGAAGAGGAAGAAATAGTCCAACGAAAATTTCACAAAGAAGGCTAGAAGTCTTCAAGCATATTGCTGATAAGAGTGAGAAAGCATCCTCAAAAATGGAGAAATATTGTCCTAGCAGCAAAACGTGCAATAATGTTCCTGGACATGATCAGAAGTGATAAATAACTACATTATAAAATAGTGAATGTGCTATGAAAACCAAATCTGAAACCAGACCAATAATCCTGTTCAATATCTGCATTAATGATCTGGATGGTGGGGCAGAGCGTACCCTCAGCAAGTTTGTCAATGATACAAAACTGGGAGGAGTGGCTGATACATCAGAGGGACCTTGAGAGGCTGGAAAAATGGGCTGACAGGAACCTCATGAAGTTCAACTAGGGCAAGCGCAAAGTCCTGCACCTGGGGAAGAACTGCAGGCACCAGTACATCCTGGGGGCTGAACAGCTGGAAAGTAGCTTGGCAGAAAAGGGCTCAGGGGATCCTGGTGGCCACCAAGTTGGCCATGAGATAGCAATGTGCCCTTGCAGCAAAAAAGGCCAACAGCATCCCGGGCTGTGTTAGGAGGACTGCTGCCAGTGGGTTGAGGAAGGTGATCCTTCCCCTCTACTCAGCACTGGTGAGAGACACCTGGAGCACTGTGTCCAGCTCTGGGCTCCCCAGTACAAGACAGACATGGATGTACTGGAGAACTGGACATTAGAAAAAGGTTCTTCACTGAGAGGGTGGTCAGTCACTGCAACAGGCTTCCCACAGAAGCAGTCATGGCACCCAGCCATGTTCAAGGAGTGTGCACAATGCTCTCAGTCATATGGTTTAGTTTCAGGTAGTCCTGCGAGGAGCAGGGAGTTGGACTCGATGATCCTTATGGGTCCCTTCCAACTTCAGATATTCCATGAGAAAGTCCAGTGAAGTGTCACAAAGAACGGAGCATTTCTTGTAAGAGAAGAGTCTGAGAGAGCTGGGACCAATTACCCTGGAGAACAGCAGGCTCAGGAGGGATCTTACCTATGCATATAAATATCTGAAAGGAGGGTATAAAGAAGACTGAGCTGGGCTTTTCTTATCGGTGCCCAGTGACAGGACAAGAGGCAATGGGTGTAAACTTAAAAACACAAAATTCCAGCTGAACATAAGAAAACATTTATTTATTTACTCTCAACTGAACATGGTCTTATCTACTCTATTTGACCCTGCTCTGAGCAGGGAAGATAATCTCCAGAGGCTTCCAACCTCAACTATTCTGTGAATTCATGAACCTGACTTACTCTGACATCCTGAAAGGAGAAAGTACATCCAAGTGCCTTCCCCATGGCCCTCTGGATTTGATTATTACAAAGCTAGACGATTACCTATTCTGTGAATTCATGAACCTGACTTACTCCGACATCCTGAAAGGAGAAAGTACATCCAGAAGTGCCTTCCTCACGGCCCTCTGGATTTGATTATTACAAAGCTAAACGATTATACGTGCTTTTATCATCTCCAGAACAGATTACTTCAATATAGCATGGTGGTGCATGTTCTGACAGCTGGCTCAGCTAATGCAGAAAGGTTGCTGTTCTATTAGCCAAAGGGAACACGTTATAACTGCTAGGGCTCAGAGGCTTACCTACAACAATGAAAGCAAGATATACTTTCATTTATTGACCAGCACAGAGAGGTGGTTCTTCAGAAGTAAGGAATCTGTATTTTTTCCTACTTACATAATCAATCAATCCAAACAGTGTGCAGATTCAACAAAATACAAAAGGGCTTGAAATCAATTATTCAACATGTTATTCAGAAAATGATAATAAAATTTTTTAAAAAATCAAAAATCTACTTCTTCCTAAACTACACTTAAATTCAATCTTTTCAGCTAGATTTTAAAAGCAGAAAATAAGCATGAATTTTTTTGGTGTTCTGTTACCACCCAGTATCAATAAAACAACAATCCATTTTTTGAAGTCAGGCCAGTAACTGTTTCTAGGCAAATAACAATCAGTTCAGTTAACTGGGGTAATGTAGCAGGAAGTTCTAAAAAATTCCTCTCAAAGTAGTCTTAAAATGTAAAGTTATTGTCATTTATTCCTATGAAGAAGTTGACAATAAAACTCCATTATGAAAATTTTGTGAAAAACTACTAGTTTTCACAAAATAACAAGCAGCCTAGAAACAAAAGAGCAAAAAATAGGAATAGAAGTTTCTTATATACCTAGTTAAAGTCACAGAGAATGCAGAACATATCACTGAGTCATAGCATGAGACACATACAAACAACATGCTAGTCACTACTCAAACACTTCCTTTCACTTCAAACTGCTACTGAACTAGCAGTCACTCCTAATTTGAACTACATGGACAATGTTAATGATAACTCTATCACAATTTTGGAGCTGTTCTGTGTTTTTAATATGTATTTAATGACAAACTGTTATCTACAAGATTCTGTGATTAAATTAACAGCTCACCGCAGAATAATTTTCACAAAAATTATGTGAAGTATTAATCTATTTTCTGGAATGGCATGAAATTACAGAAGTTATTTTAAAAAAAATAATATCATATATCTCCAACAAATTTAAAAATTGCACTGTGTGGCAGTATTTATAATTTCCCTTGTTGAACCCTTTAATTGCTTACAGCTGGAAATTGCTTTAAAATAACTTGAAAGATCTAATCCTGTCTTCTTTGTGCACTTGCAAATTTTGTCATACCTCAAACACGACTTAAAGTAGCACACTTTTCCCTACTTCACATACCTCCTGTTTGCCTATAAACGATTTTTTCACATACATAATCACATAAAGACTTCCACACATCTACTACTCACCACATAATGAACACGATAATCATCACCATCAACCTGTCTTTTATTAGCTCCATGGCCTAGTTGTCAGATTGAAAGAGAAAGTCAATTCCTGTCCACTCCACACGTGATCTAGCAGACTTTCTCTCATACTCCCCCAGGAAGCCTTTTCCTGGGTTGAGAACTCCTAGCCTACTCAGCTGTTGCTATGGTATTTCTGGTGACCCTTCTCCCCTTTCTACCAGCCTTCTCCAGTTATGGTTTAGTCTTTTGGATATGAAGGGATTCAGAACTTCATCACTTTATAGACATCTATGCTGTAATTCACTTACCATTTTATCACCCATTCACTTAATCTTTAGTAATCCTCCAGTCAGTCTTGCTTTTCTAATTTAAATAACTTGGTACCACCACTACCAAAACTAATTACCTTGCTGCTCACCCCTTTTCCAGTGAGTTAATGAACATGTTATCCAGTACAGATACTTATGGAACCTTATGGTGATCTCCCTCTAACAAAAGACTTCCAACACTCTATCCTACCTTTCAGCAAATTATTTAAACACACCACAACCTCCTCTCATATCCCACATCTGCTGAACTACTTAAAATCTGTGGTGAGGGACCCTGCTAAAAGCTATTTGGAAATCATGCATGCAGTTAGCTGGATCACCATTATCCTACTGAGTCTCTCAGAAAAGCCAACAAACACGCCCAGGCTCTAAGAGATTTGTAAGGTTGAATTTTCCATTTTTAAATGCATACATAATCTTTTTACTGACACTTATTCTGCAAGCTTTTTTTAAAAGATCAGTCCCACATTTACCACCTTCCACTCTTCAGGTATCAAAGCAATTTCAAAGGGGAGGTTACACACTCTCACTAGTAACATCTTTTTCATCCTGGAGTTCTCTTAGAATTCTTTTGTGAATAGTTTCTGGTCCTGCTAATGATCATCCTGTAGATTTGTCCCATAACCCCTTTCACAGTTATTTCAATTTCAGAAATATCCTCTAACTCTCACTGCCATCACCACCAAGGGGCACCATATGGAAATCACGTTTCTTTTTCCAGTGAATAACGATGCAAAGAATTAATTTTAATTTAGATTCCGTGCCTTGCTACCCCTGAGTGCTCCTCTTATATCCTGTTCATTAAACAAGCTCTGCAGACATTCACTTTGAGTTATCTGTTGGAGCCACACTGTACTAGCAAAACTGAGATAAACAACTGGTCAACATTCAGAAAATCAGGAACACCACTAATTGGCTAGGCCAGGATCAAACATACTTTAAAACATTACAGTGAGAAAGTCATTGCTTTGTTTGAATCGGTCATCTGCACTTCCAGCAGCAGCGGTGATGGTTTCTTTCACAGTTCCGTAACACAAAAGCATATTCTAAATTATCTGCTTAAGAAACAACACATTAATTTGGAAAATGAAACATAAGAGTATTAGACAGTTTACTTCGTGACCAAAAATATTTGCCATGCAATTTGCTTTTGGTTGTTTGTTTACTCCTACTTTCCTTAGCAAAAAAAGTTCCACATTCTAAACACCTTCTCCTTCTGAAATTATGATGGAAATCTGAAAAAAGCCTATAAAGACACAATAAAGTCAGGACAAAATGACAACAGTAAAAAGAATCAAGAGACAGTGGAATCAGATTAATAACTGCTGCAGAAATAAAATTCTGACAGAATGGTTGGGGCACATAAGAGGAGAAAGTCAAATGTCAGAAAAAGAGGCAGACAGTTAAACACTAGTGTGATAGAAAAAGGTCAGAAGACCTTCAACTGATTTCAAGAAGCCTGGTGATCCAAAGTTATGTTTAAAAACATCCGACTATTACAATTCATAACAGAAGTTTTAAAGCCCAGGTTGAGATCCTGGCTTCACTGAAACCAGTGATAAATCTCCTATTTTCTTTAAGAATTCAATCGTTTTTAAAGTGAGAGCAATTTATACTTTTGAGACTGGTAGAAAGAGAATACTAGTTCTGAGCTGGCAATCAAAATTATATCTCTAGGGAAGTCCAGGGGCTGTGTTGACCCTATTCGGGACACTGGGAGATAAGACTGTTTTGGTCTCTGAATTGCAGCAGGACATAAGGAGGAGGACGGCAAAAAAAAACCCAAACCCATGTGATTCCCAAAGTCTGAAACACTGAATGCTGTTATTTAACAAAGTATACTCACATACTTCTGTACACATACTGCTACCAAAAGAACAGACACTTTGAAAGGAGAGCAAAGAATAAAAATATTTATGGAATGTAAACAGTTTGAAATACCACATCTCAATAAAACTGCATTTTGACATGTAAGTATGTACAGTTAATGCATCATATCCTCCATTTCCTATACCTCCTCCAACCATCCGTGATGGTTTTTTTTAATTTAAAATCTAAAATGTTTCTTACAATAAGCTATTCCAAACTGAATCATTTGTAAAAGCAAGACAGGTCATGAATGGCTGATGTCTTGCCACCAGCAAAAGACACGTCAACAAAGCAGAAAAAAAAAATATTCATGCTTACTACATTTGTGCTCTGAACTAACATAAAAATAACTCCTCAGTGATACTTGCTTCCCTGCTATAAACATTACAATTAAAATCCAGAACTGACTTTTAAATGACTTTTAATTTAGGCATTGACTGGCTAAATACAAAAATTTATACAAGTATAAATATACATATATTCAGCACTAAAAATTCACTTAAAACCACTATAAAACCGTTTCGCTCTTCTCTGCTTTTAATTAAAATTAAACTGTTATACACAGAAATAACACATTCATACATGCAACTGTAACACGGAAGAAACTTCAGAATCATTACTATTTTTTTCAAATAATCTCACAAAGAGCTCAAGAAATGCTCATGTAGCAATGAAACCTTTGGACCGATACAAACTGCTTTTCAAAAAGCCCTCCAGCTACCTTGGAAAACACCTGGATATTAAGAACTTAATTTCTCAAACTAAAACCCATGCATTTAAAATCACAGCACATGGAAACAGTCACTATCTACCCAGGCTAAGCATGAAACACAAAGGTAATCAAATCAGAAAGTTAGACGGTCATACCTGAAAAGCCACAGATTACTGTAATAAATTATTTAGGAGCAGCTGTAGCCTTTTACTTTTCCTGTCTACAAGAAATATTTATAATTTTTTTATGATATACTCTGTGACTAGACAGCGAAAATGTTTCCCTCCACCAAGGAAACACCATTGGCCTGCTTTCAAACCTCCCTGAATGCTCAGGCTTTAATTGCAGTTTGGCTACAGAACGGGCAGCACACTTCATTATAGATTGCCCCGAGGAAGAAGAGACCAGAAATTCATTAACTGCTTAGATTTTTTTTTTTTTTTTTTTTTTTAGGATTGGAGGCAAGGAAGTTTTTAGAGGACTGCAGAAGCTAAAAAAATGTTAGGGAACTTTATTCTGCCTTTGAAGGTGGGAAAGAAGGGACATCCTCTGCTGAAAGCAAAAAACAGGCCCAGCTCCCAGGTATTGTAATACCAAGCTCGAATATACTTTTACCAATGTAATGTGGCATTTCTTCCCACCTCAGTCACCAGCTTTCCCTGGAGAACACACAGGCATTAATGGAGTTAATTATTACTTCTGCCTAGAACTCACGTGCATACAAGCTACCTAGGCTGTATAAAGGATTCGGAGACAGGTTCACCAAGATATATTATCAGGGCGCACAGCTGACGGCATACAGTGACTCTAACGATGGAAGTCACTTTGGGGGGAAAAGTGAAAACAAAAGGAGACAGAAAGACATAACATGCGTCCCAAGGCAGTCTCCAGCACTGCAGATGATTTCCCCCCATAAGAGTTTCCCATGGTACGTATATACTTTCCATCAGAACCCTTGTAGACTCCTCGCTGGATACATGCAGGCAGGTTGGATGTTAAGCACTTCAAAGGCATATCATGGCATCCCCTAACAAATCTAAAACGTGCAACCCAGAGGAAAGCAAAGGGAAGAAGAGAACTGGCTCCTGCCAGTTGCTACCCAGGAGAACCACCCAAACACTTACTAGGATTCACAGCTGCAAGGTCATAAGGACAACAGCATGAGAACAAGGGGAAAATACTGCCCCAAAGGCTCTGCAACAGCGCCAGGGCAGCTTGGGTGAAAGGGGACAGAGCTGCTGAAAGGCAGGTAGCAGAGTTGCAAATGGAGGACACTTAGCAACACAAAAGGGTAAGGTATCCATGGCACACCTATACCACCTTAAGTTTGTGTCAAAACCTAAGTAGCGTTCACTGCTTAAAAACACCGTATAATGAAAAGACTTTAATCTTCTCTTATGAGAAGCGTGCAGGTAAAAAAAAAAAAAAATTACAGCAAAATTAATTACATAATTCAGAAAATGCCACCCAGCAGAAGTTTTTAGTTATACAGTATTATTTCTCATATACCAAAAGACATTTTTCCCAATTTTCTAACCACAGTTTTTGAAGGACAGATCCAAAGTCAACTCTGATCCTTAGTGGAAAAAATATCCATGTTCTCCCTTCCTCCTAAGTATACTTTCGCCTCTACTGGGAAAAAGAATACATTTGAGTTTTGAAAAGTGACTGCAGATGATTAAAAACCAGAAAGAAAAGGCTATTGAAGAATTACAGAAGTCTAGAAAATCAATTAAAAATGTCGAGGAAGATGTAAGAGACGAAAGGCAGAAAGAATAGAAAGAAAACAATGTTTGAATTAAAAAGCGAACCACCTCAGTCCACTGTCTTAAGGCACATATTACTGCCCAAGTTACTCTGTGGGATAACAGGTTTCCAAAAGCACAGCTGGCCTGCCCCAATCCCTGTAAGGGGTGACTGGGATCTGCATGCCTAAAGCCCGTTTATGACTTGAAGTACACGTTTACTGCATGTGAAGAAAGAAATATGGAAAATGCTAAGTAATGACAACAGCAACCTTGTCCACTGCCGACAATCTAAGTGTAAAGATAGTTATTTTACAAGGTATTTATTACCCTTCTTGTCCTGGAGAAGAATAGCACACGCAACGGCACTAGGTTCAGAACACCTAGCAAAATACAGG